ATTTTTCATCTCTCATCTGGCCAGCTGGCTCTGCACCTGCCCCTTTAGTGAGCTTACTTTTCGACCCTCCGGAGCCACAAAGCATTGGAAAACACCGTGTTTCGCGACTTTCCTACCTTTTCGCGCACCTGCATCTTCTTTCTTCTGACTCCTTCTTCTGACTCCTTCTTCTGACTCCTTCTTCTGACTCCTGCTTCTGACTCCTTCTTCTGACTCCTTCTTCTGACTCCTTCTTCTGACTCCTTCTTCTGACCCGTTCTTCTGACTCCTTCTTCTGACTCCTTCTTCTGACTCCTTCTTCTGACCCGTTCTTCTGACTCCTTCTCTTCTCTGATCTTCTCTCTTCTTCTCTTCTCTTCTCTTCTCTTCCCTTCCCTTCCCTTCGCTTCGCTTCCCTTCGCTTCGCTTCCCTTCGCTTCGCTTCCCTTCGCTTCGCTTCGCTTCGCTTCGCTTCTCTTCTCTTCTCTTCTCTTCTCTTCTCTTCTCTTCTCTTCTCTTCTCTTCTCCACCTCTGCTTTTCATCTGTCCATATTGTCGGAAGTTTGACTTCCAAACTTCCTTCGGTTAGAGGTTAAATTAGAGGCTTATTAGAGGGAAATGAGAGGAAAAGTGTCGGCCCATCCAGTGGACTTGCGTAGGCGGAAAGGCTGCAAGGTGTTGAACCTACTGGCAGAACTTTGTGAGAAGTTGGAGGGCGCTCCGATTCGTTCAATTCCTTTGATTGGTTTCCATTCTTTCGATTCGTTCCTGTGTTTCAGGAAGTATGGCGGTATTCCAGAGGCTTTTGCTTCACTGCGAGCAGAGCAGCGAGAGGTGCCTCCATAAGAGTGGAGCAGTGACCAACAGTGACCAACAGTGACCAACAGTGACCAACAGTGACCAACAGTGACCACCAGTGCCAACAGTGACCAGCAGTGACCAACAGTGACCAACGGTAAGCAACAGTGACTAGCACATTCACATAATTACACAGTTTTTTTTTGGTTCCTTCTTAGCTTGGTTTGCCCTGCCTTGGCCGCTACCCGTAGCTATTGTTTCTGGTGTAGAATCATACCAGGCCCGCCACCACCAACGTCGTCCCGCCTGCAAGAAAGCGGCTGCTCACCAGGTTTTCGCCATTCGCTGAAGTCAGCAGCGTTGGGTAAATGCTAAAAGGTAGCTGCGGATCACAGCACAAATGAAATTGAAACATGCTGGCACAAAAGAAAAATGAAATGGGACATGTACTGGATTCCCAGCACTCCCCCTTTGACTCACCGTCAGGTGAAGTTAATTCAGCCAGCTCAAGCTACCTATCAAGACATGCAGTGCAAAGGCTGAAAGTGTTGGCTCCTTCAGCACGTTCGCACATCGGATTAGAGTGCGCATCAGATTCCCAGCTCGTGATGAACATTGCAGAGCAACGTGATGGAAAACTTCCGGATTGAACGGCTTCTTTTCGGCATTCCAAACACCATCGACGACTCTTTTTCGCACCGGTCACCGAGGCAGTTAAATATCGGCAACTCCAGTGAGAGTGATATACCGTTCCGCACTTCGTTGTGATCACCAGGAACGGCAAATCCACCGTTTCATACTCATTCAACTGCTGGTGAGGCGGTCCCAGAAGAGGATGCCCTGGAGACGCTCGATTCAGCTCGGCTGTTACCAGCCTTTCTTCACGTTCAATCTCATCCCATTCCGTAGGGGATCACGTTGAGCCTCTGACGTTGATGATGTTGGTCCTTCTGGTTGATCATTTGGTAGCGGAGCTTCATCTCCCCGCAAAGTTCGTTCTGGTTCTTGTGGACGTCGTTGAACTCGTGGTAGCTGAGCATGTTGATCTCGTGGTAGGGGAGCATGTTGGCCTGGTAGAGGAGCAGTCGACATAGTCGATGATCGTCCAATTTCTTCGATGGAGCGGCCTGTGCTTGATGCCGCCATAGATCGCAAGTTTTCCTTTGAGGAAGAGCTTGTAGATCTCCCCACAGCGCGTTCAGAGTGACTTCCAGGTTGGGCAAGCACATGCTGTCGCAGAAATCTCGCCCCCCGTACTCCAGCTTCCCAAATTCGCTGTGCCATCAAAGTTATGAAGACAACTGCAGAGGTGTAGAGGATGATGATCTCAAAAGATACCATCTCTTCTGCTCCTTCTCCATCTCCTTCTGCCTTCGAGATCGACATAGTCGCTGCCAGAGTGATCAAACGAAGTACCTGAGCAGCTTCGGCCAAACGATGGCCGTTTTTGTTGGCTTCACAGCCGTCCTGCTTTTCACTTCGCTTTTCTCCTTCTTCTTTCTTTCTTTCTTTCTTTCTCCTCAACTTCAATCTTCTCTTTTTCTTTCACCTTCTCTTCAACTTCAATCTTTTCTTCACTTTTCACAGACAAGCTGTCCATGCCCATGAGCTTTTTCAAAAAATCGAAGCGCACTGATGCCAGAGGTTTCGCGCCGATGTCTGCCAGCATGAATTCCCCAGCCACATGTTGTGTTGACCACTCGCCTGCCAGAATTGACTGCCTGGCAAACGAACATCTCAGGCGTAGATGGCGGGTTCGCCAATTTCCACCTTCGTTGGCCAAAATGGCCTGTGTTGACATGCTGTCTGTTTCCACCAGCTTGGAGATCTTTGGGAACAGCTCGGCAAGGATGACAGAGATTGACTCCCCTGCTATCATCCCCTCTACGATCTCTGTCAATCCAGCCTCTGCTGTGCTGAGCGTCACGAATCCTTGCCTTCCAGATCGCCAGAAAATGGGTGTGGCCCCCAACATCACTATGAAGGAACCGTGAGACTCTTGGGAATCTGGGGCAAAGCTGGCGTCAGTGAACACTGTGAGAACTGGATGTTCGCTCTCACCAACCTTGAAGATCAGGCCTTCATCTGATGTGGCCTTTGAGTTGGATTGAAGCTTTGAGAGCTGCTTCAGGGGCTTTCGTCACTGACGACCCCATTCGGGCCACAGTGAACATAATGTCCGGTCTGGCACGGGTGGTGAGCCAGAGGACCTCGCCAACGGCCTTCTGAGCCGCACGAATCATCTTCAGAGAGCACCGTTTTGGCATTCAAAAATGCCGTGCGAACATCCAGGATTGATGCGCTCCATTGAAAGAGCGTGGCGCACCACACCAAGATTCTCAGTGATGCGGCATCAGCTCCTGAACTGAAGTTGTCCTCGTCCTCCTTCTTTGGTTCGAGGTTGCCACAAGCACAAGCCACCCACCTCATCTTTTTGCGACCTCCATCAGGACCTGGCTTTCGAGTGAAGACCAGCTTTGAAGGAATGAATTCTATTCCTCTTCCAGCCTTTTCTGCTTCTTGTCGTCGTTGAGAAAGTTCTTCAGGTCCAATCTCCTTGAAGGCCTGCTTGTCATAGAGGAGTGAGTCAACTTCGCTTTTGACCGCTGGGATCCAATCTTGCCAGTGGTCTGAGACTTCTTTTGGTGACACAATTCGTGTCTGTAGGATTTCCTCTTCTTCATTCGGCATAGATGCCATCTTTCGGATGTTGGCCAAGATCTGGAACTCTTCTTTGGCCAGCTCGGGGTCGTCGTTGACCATAAAGCCATAAGGCACATCTCCTTCTCGATCAGGCGGAGCATGCAACTCTTCGTTTTTTCTCCTCCTCTCCATCTTTCTCTTCTCCATCCTCCTCTTGAAGCTTTCTTATCGTTGATTTACCTCTCATCCTTCTTCGGACAGCCAAGGCGTCCACAGATTCTCGCTCCAGGGCTATCCATTTCTCTTCAGCTAAAGGAAGGTGGGTCGCCTTCATGATGAGCTTGGTGATTCTTGGAGCTTCATCTTTTGGAAGGACCGTGCCCATGTTCTTCAGGAGCAGGACAGAGATACTTCACGGTCTCGGTGGAAGTTTCGAAGGTTCCTCTCCTCCATCTTCGCTTTCGGACCATGATGTCGGAGAGAAAAGGAGGGTAGTCAGGAGTCTTGGCAATCCTGACTGAGCGATTGAGCTCGTTGACATAGCGTGTCGCCTAGGGCCACCATGTTGGTTCTGCTTGTGCTTGAAGTAGGATCCTCCTTATTTGTGTCTTTATAGACTTCACCGCATTCTCGGCACGTCCATTGGCTCTTGGATCGTCTCCTGGTGTCCTCGTCAAAAGGACTCCTCTTTCTCTGCACATCTTTTGAAGTGGCCTTGAAATTCATGGCCTTGGTCACTGTGGATGTGGCCGATGTGATACCCGTCAGCTCGAAGACGAAGCATCATGTCCATCACCGCACGAGTGACTTCTGTTGCCTTCTTTGAGAACATAGGAGCTGCAAGACGAAAAACTCGCGTCTCGAACTCCTCCTTTTCTTTTTCTTCTTTTCCTTCTTCAACTTCTGCCTCACCCTCTGGGGCCCTTTGACGCTCCTCTTCTTCTGGAAGTTCATCCTCACTCTCTGGGGCCCTTTGACGCTCCTCTTCTTCAGGCTGTTCATCATCAAAGATTCCCTGAGGTTGTTCTTGCGGTTGATCATGTTGATCTTCGATTGGAATCACTTCTTCCTTATTTCTGGCTTCAAAGTTCGGGGCTTCGCCTTCAAATTCTGGTACTTCTTCTTCTCGATTTTTGGAGTCTTTTGGCACCGTCCAAGTGAGAGCGCCAACCAAGATTTATGCAGGCTTGTAGCCACCTGCATCATATATGAAGGGCCCTGTTGTGTCGATAGACAGGACACCTCACAAGGGGTGCTTCACTCTTCTGTGAGGCGGTTGTTGCTGTAGAGATTGTTGACACACCAGGCAGTCTCTTCTAAAAGGGATGTGTCCATGTCGTAGATGTTCTTCCCATGACAAAGAAGAGATCCTTGGCTGTCGATTGACAACTTGAGTCAGAAGTGCCTCGGCCACCATGTTCATCACACCGGGGGCCCATCGCGACAATTCTGATGAAGATCGGATCGTGGTAGAAGATGTCTTCTTCATCCGATGTTCTTCTGGACGCAGCTCCAAGTTTCTTGCCATCGTAGTAGGTTTTGTAGCTGCACCACCATTATGTCCCTGGCAGAAAGTGGTCTCAGAGAATCCAAATTCTTCCTTCTGTATCCCAGAAAGACACACACTGGGGCATGTAGCTTTTGGGTGTTGCAGGCTGCTCCAGAAGAAATCCAACTTCTTTCCGAACTTGTCGAGCTCGGCGAAGGTAAGTTGAGATCATCCACAAAAAGATCGATCTCCAAAGAAGGATGTCGTCCTCCTCAACTTGGGTTTTTTCGGCTGGTGTCAAATCAGCCAGTCTATGTTCTTCACCTTTCCATGCCCTCACTGGTCGCGGAGCACGTGGGTAGTGCCTCAGGACCGATCTGGTCCGGCAGTTTGGGCCAGCAATGACCACATCAATTCGATCTTGTAGGGCTGCTCGAAGAAGTCCCGCATAGACACCACTATCGACGATCGAGCAACATGTTGTGACCTTCTCCTCTTTTCAGATCGATCTCCAAGAGTTGGGTCTCCATGCCACCTTGCTGCTTCCAAGCTCTTGACAAGGTGAAGCCTTCTTGTTCTCCTGCATACAAGTGCAAAAGAAAGCCATCTCTTTGCAAGCGCTTTCGTTGTCTTCTGTTCACCGGCAGATCCTTCCAGTCTCCGATGTCAGTGACCAAGCGGCTTTTGATATGTTGTGGAAGACTTCGCAAAACCGGGTGGCTTTCCACCAGATCTTCCATCCATTTTTTCTCCTTCTCAAAGCTGATGCTTTTCATGCTCTTCTGAACTCCTGCTGCCTCCATCTCTTCGATCAAATCCAAAGCCAAAGTCCTTGGAAGTTGTGGGCATCCATTGCGGTTTTGAACTGGTAGTTGCCCTCGAACAGGATGGACGACATTCAGAGTTTCTCCAGCCCATTTGACCCAACATCCCAAGTCATGGACTAACTGTCCTATAGGCAAGATTGGTTCGACATCGTGTCGATCGGTGACCATGATGCCACCTGGAGTCACCTAAAGAGTTGTAGATTCGCCATTTGCCAAAGTCACTGAAACCTTCTTGTTGGACAAGTCGCATTCACCAGGCCTTCTTGGACGCAAGGGATGTGTGGCCCCTGAGTCAATCAGGCCCTGATGTTGGCCATGGGAGATCTGGTTGATCTTGAACAGCTTGAGCTTCAATTGGTTCAATTGTTGTTGAAGTCGATCCATCACCTCATCCTTGGTCTCCGTGGAGCTTGATGTCGTACTTGAAGATGTAAATGAGTTGGATGATGTTAGCGACTTGAGCATCGTATTGGCCTGCTCAAGCAATTCCTTCATCGAAGCTGTCTCACCAGACACCTCCTCTTCTTTTCCTTTTGTAGAGCTCGTCGGTGATGAAGTCTCCTCCCCCTCGGCCTTCTGGATCTTTGGCTTTTGTGGCGACAGATCATTTCTGTCCTTTGGATTGGTCGTGGACAGCTTGGCGACATGTGGTCAGGACAACCACAATTCCAACACCTTCTTTTCTCGTCTTTCTGTTCATGCGACCAGCTGCACATCTTTCCTCTTCTGCGTCCCTGATCTGACAGGAAAAACTTACACCTCCCTTTTTCTTCCTTCTGCTCCTCCTTCTTCGTCGGCGATCTTCCTTCTTCTTCTAGCTTCTTCAGTTCGCTTTCTCTGGCTCCACACGCTTCTTCGATGCATTTGAAGTCTCTTGATGGACGACCTGCTCGAACTCAGCGACAAGGTGCAGCGCAAAGGAAGTCACCGAAGTTGAAGTCGGAGTGGAATCGACTTGCAAAGTAGATCTTGCAAGACTTATCCTGAAGGAAAGGCCTCGGTTGTTCTCCAAGGGCTTGCGGATGATCCTGTTGAGGCCCTTCAAAAGAAGAAAGGGGTCCGGCTCAGAGATCTGCAAGTCTGCAGCACGCCTTCTCCAGCGCGCCCATCTGCGAAGGCTTTGCACGGCCTCTACAAGGTTGGATGACTCCGGAGGAAGCTCAAGTGACCTCAGAATCAGTTCTTTTTCCGCAAGTCCACCTGGTTGGTATGTTACCAGGAGCTGGCAAATGATTGCCATGGCACTCAGCCTTTTGGCTGATATGAGTTCTTCTCTTTGGCCTTCAGGTACAGCCATCAGCAAAAGTGTCGAAGCTCGACGTTCAAGCCTGGCCCATTTGGGTTTGGCCAATTCCGTTGAGGGAGCTGGTACATGTGCAACTCGATCAAGAGGTGGTAGTTGAAGATGACGTTGATACCAAAGGTTGGCCTCCATGACCAGCTGTTGCCACCATTGCGCACTGGAGTTGCTGAGGTCACACATCATCGGTTCAATGAGCGCCATCCAGTCGTTGAGATCAATTGGACCCGTAGTTGCACTCCATTCTGAAAGGGCTGGAAGTGCTGGAGCTTGTCGGACTGATTCAGTCCCAGTTTCTTCATCTCGATGTTCCAACATTTGACGTTGAATCGCCTGCATGCCCTCCATGAGCTTCAGCATGACTTTCACCGTAGTTGGTTCTTCATCACTTCCATTCTTTGGGGGTCTATTAGCCTCCTTGTATTCTTCGGGCTTTGAATTTTGGCGGCTTTCGGGCTTTGGGGGTCTTTCGGCCTCCTGGTAGGGGGTCTCAGCCTCCTTTGATACCTGACGCACATGTTGCCTTCCCTTTGGTGGTCTATCAGCCTCCTGGTAGGGGGTCTCAGCCTCCTGTTGAGAGCGGTGGTAAGATTGACTTCCCTTTGGTGGTCTATCAGCCTCCTGGTTGGGGGTCTCAGCCTCCTTCGGATTATCCCCTGTTGGTGTTGAGAACTTTGGATCCTCTTCAGATTGGGATAGCTGCGCCTTCTCAAGACGTTCAACCTTCTCCCTCAATTTTCTATTCTCTTCTAAAACTTCTTCTATCCCCTTTTTCAACTCCAAATTCTCTCGAACCCCAACTGCCGGTCCATATGGGTATACATATTGCGAACCCATACCAACAGTTTCTTGCATCCTACGTTCATCTTGTTCGAGAAAAAGAGGTCTCGAAATTGGAGGTTGAATGGCTGGTTGGTGGAATGCCACAGGACCACCGGGGTACAGCCAAGGAGCTTGTTGAAAAAGTTCTTGAAACCTGCGAAGTTGTTGATCATCAAAAAGAGGTTGCTGAGGCGGAGAAGCACCAGATTGAGTCCCAGGCGTCATCATCGGCATGGGAACTGGTTGCCTTTGGCCAGGAACATCTAGTGCTCGTGGAAGATCTGCGGACCCTCCATTCTCGATCATTTTGGAGTCTGTGGCAATCACTTCCGTCACCACAGGAACAACTGCTTCATGTTGAACAGCTACGGCACCTGAAGATTCATCTCGTGCTCCAGGGGTCTGTGCTGGCGTTCTCACCTCAGTTCTCACCTGACTAGCTGGCGTTGCAGGTGTCACCTGAGAGATTTCCTGTCCAGGAACGGCAGGCACAAGTGAGGTAGGAAAACTTGTAGGCCCTTCCTCTCTTCCCAAGATTTGGGGGATTCTGGAACCACGGTTTCCAAACCTTTCACATCTTCTATTGGTTTTTCAGAGCCAGTTGCGACCTCTGCTTCAACTCGTTGCTGGGCTCGGAGCATCTCATCCATGCCCTGGTCCAGTTCAGCCTGAGTTGCCCTTCTTCTGGAAAACATCGCAGTGGTCAGGCCCTTGGGCTCATAACCTGGTAGAATCACCTACCAGGCCCGCCACCACCAACGTCATCCCGCCTGCAAGAAAGCGGCTGCTCACCAGGTTTTCGCCATTCGCTGAAGTCAGCAGCGTTGGGTAAATGCTAAAAGGTAGCTGCGGATCACAGCACAAATGAAATTGAAACATGCTGGCACAAAAGGAAAATGAAATGGGACATGTACTGGATTCCCAGCAGTTTCATTCGGCATATTCCAAGTGGCTATTGATTGGACGTTTGGGGCTCTCCAGGGATCGAAATAGATTCGCCCCCCAGCCTCTGGGAATGCGAGTTCGGCAAAGCGGGCTCTGACCACGCATAGGTTGAGGATGGCTTGTTCACAAATACGATGAGTGGTCAGTGCCTTGATGTGCCCGGCTAAGCTCGTATTCAAATCGCTGGCTGGCCTGGAATCTACAACCTGCCAGTGGAGAGGATAATGGGACCTACCTCATCAACGGCGCCGCCCCCGGAAGGTGCCTGACCGTTTGGGCCGAAGACTTCATTCCTGCCGCTTGGATCGTCAACCAAGATTGTGAGTTTAATCGAAGCAATCGCGCCAGTCAGCTTTGGGAACTTGTAGAGGTCTGCAAGTTGGAGAATAGCAACGCCTACAACAAACCTGTCCGCCCACATGCAAGCGGAGTGACTACATCCAGGACAACCAGTGTGTGCCGTGCCCGCCTGGACAATGTGCACAAGACAACGAATGTTGGTCGTGCCTTCCCGACCAGTTCTGGAATATCTTTGATGAGGTGTGATTACTGCCCTGATGGAAAGGAGGTCGCAGATGACATGGTGAGCTGTAAAGACGAGACTTTTCTAGGCCTCACGGAGATCCAATGGGCAGCAATTGGCACTGGCTTGGCAGCCTGTTCGATTCTTGCAGGTGCATTCCTGACCTTGTGCAGATGTTGCAAGACTGATGGAGACAAGCAAACACCAAGTCCTAGCCCAACCACATCGGAGATTCCAGTGGTTCAAGCAGTGCAAATAGGATCGCGTCCAGTGTCAGAGGGCACTTCCCCCCCAACAAGGTGGTCGTTGATGTCAGTGGAATGTCCTATGCAGCCGCATCACCGCCTGCTACGTTCTCAGACCCATACTCACAAGATTTCATTGAACAGATGGACGAAATAAATCTGTGAGTGCTTATTAGCTAATTAGCTGAGCCAGTGGCAGAAGTGAGGCTTCTCCACTAAGTCAGGTCTCGCAACCCCTTAAAGGGCCTGTGATTGATCGTTGACGACTGTCGACCCGTAGAAGACTTTTTGCAATAAAAAGAGCATAGACAAACTTAGGTCATCAAGTAGCACAGGCACCGGACTTCAATGAAACCTGATTTCTGCCCGAGTTCTTTTGGGAACAGGCAGACACCCATGCCACTATCATTGCCCAGCCACGTACAGCATTTGTTCAACTGTATCAACATGAGCAGGCAACCAGACTAAAAGGGGGCGGCTTCTTTTGACTTTGACACTCAAACCGTGAACAACCCGCTACAAGAGAAATGCTAACAGGTTGAGATGTCTTAGTAATGTTGTTTTGACAGTTGCAGGCTTGAAGACTTGTGCTTTGTGTTCTGATTTATTGCAATTCGGCAGGTATATCTCGACTTTTCCCAGCTCAAAAAACTCCTTGAGGTGGAATTGCTGACGTAAGTGGCAAACAGCAAGCAATGTTCTGCAATGTTCTGTATGGTCAATGTTTCTTTCAGTCAGTGCGCGCCAGGATCTAAACATTTGGGATGAGAGCACTGGAGACTTGCGACTCATCATGGACATCGTTGAGTCAGAACCTTTGCCACATTTCGCATCATTTCACCAGATGCTGTAGAAGATTCTAGAAAATTATAGAATCTAGAACCGTAGAGAGGGGGAGTACATTCTTGAAGGCACTTTGTTTGCACTTGACATGCATAACCTAGCGACATATTTGGACTCAAACTTTTTTTTTAACGATCAAAAAAATCATGTTCAAAACATTTCAAAACAATGTCAGTAGCCTTTTTATCAAATGGCAAAACTTGCAGTACTCTTAGAATGATTTGTATTCGTTTGGAACTTTCTGGCAGGTCACATAGGGATGGCGGCACCAACATTTGTACCCCTGAGCTTGTGTTATTTGCGTTGATTCCAAACTATACACTGGGAGTACTCATGACACTAGCTGGTCAGGAGGTCCCAGAGGATCCTAGCATTCAGACGAGGTGTAGCAATGGTCAGAAAGGATCGAACATGCTCAAAGAAAAATACCCAAAAGATACCATGCCAACCACACGCCAAGATCACACACCAAAACTATCCAAAACTGTAATTTGGGAGATACCAAATTGAATAAATTTTATAGATAAATGATAGATACAGTACGATACATGTCACGGTGATGTCACACCTCCTAGTTGTCGTCTGCTTCCGGTGACCCGCCGTGCCAGGTGAGCTCATGGCTGCCCTTCAAGCTGGACAGACTGGCACTCAGGCGCGCAGTGCCTGGGCTTGGTGTCACTGGACTTGTTGCCACAATATGCATATAAATACAAAATGATGTGAATATAAATAAATATAAAAAACAATATCCTTATGATGTGCATAACTCGTTGATAAATCACTAAGTTTCACTGATTTGTGTGCGATTTGTTGAATCCAGTGCCAGTGTGTACAAAGGCTCCAAGTGATGCAGGTGCGCTTAGCTCCAGACCAGCGTGATGCGAAAGCCAGACAGCAGGTTCAAAGGGACCAAAGGGACCAAAGGAACCCAAGGGACCGAAGGGACCGGCGCGACGTCGTGGATCGTGTTGGATCTTTGTGGTGCCAACATCTGACAGCTGACAGGTGAAATGGCAGATGGCCCCGTTTCACCGGTGTGCCACCGAGTTGCGAGCAAATGGTCACGTTCTCAGACTTTCTCAGAAAGCTCCAAGAGAGGTGGCTTTTGAAAGGCGCAAACGGGACCTTCTGAGGCCACTTCTGTCACAATACAGAAACGACAGTAGTAAGTAAAAATTTGCGCCAAGTTCGAGAGAAACCAATCGCCGGAAAGCAGCCGGACTGGTGGTTGGATGGCAGGCTCAAAAATTCGCAAGACCTGGGCTTGGGAATGTTTTTTGATTGGCATGGTCGGTTCAGTGAAGATGCCATGGGAACCACATGGGAACCATTTGGCGATGGTAAAACACACGATTAAAATCAGAAAATGCTTTGCGTAGCATGAACGGTGCTCTTCCCAGAGTTCGGCAGGTCCAAAGAAGCGGCAAAAAACAGACATCAGGAGATCAAGAAGGAGTCGCAAAACATGTTGCAAAAATTCAAGAGGCGCTTGCGAGGATGTCACAGCCGTGTTGGGAGACCAAGCACATCCAACCAAGCACTATCCACTTGAAGAAACTTGAAGAAACTGCATTTCAATTAAATTAATATTATATAATTTATATAATATTATTATATTAATAGTTATTTCAGTCTCATTTCATTTCTTGGCGTCTGGAATTGACCCTGAAGAGCTGATCCAGCCGTAGATCCATGGTCAGGGATAAGAGCCTACCGATCCTTCGCAGAGTGGTTGGACCCTTAGATTTAGATCGCAGGGCACTAGGGAAACCTAGGGAAACCCAGGGAAACCTAGGGAAACAAGAAAAGGACCTTTAAATTATTTTAAATTTTCTCATGATTTCTCATGCGTTTGTGTTTGAAGTCTTGTGTTCTTGTGTTTGAGTTTGTGATTCATATTCAGTCCTTCACTCGTCACAGGAAGGAGGATCACAGGATCCATCCTGGGGAGGGCAGAGACCTCAGACTGAGCATTCCACTGGAAACGCTTTTATTTCAGAAATTTTATATCAACTTTCGGATGATTTCATGCTAAGAACTTTTAGGAAGCATTTAGGGCTTTCATAACTTTCATATAGTCTTTGTATATCATCTTTGCATCATGTCGTTTTCTGCAAGGCCTGCGAGAACTGGTGAGGACTGCGCCAGATCCATAGCAATCCCCAACTCAGCCAGCCAGAGACATCCAAATCGCCATCGGTGCCGAAGGAGCTTTTGTGCAACAGCATTCCGTTTGGTCCGTTTCGCTCCAGCTACACAAAGGCCGGCCGGAGAATGGGCTGCTTTTGCCAAACTTCTCAAACCACATGTCACATATCCTTTGCAGAGCTGACTGCAGCCTATTCCATATTTGAGGCTGAGGGAGTTCTTCTTTGTTTGAACATTTTGAACCCGAAAGGATAACAAATTCTTTGTTTGGTTGCAGTTTTCATATCGCATGCCGGAACCGCTTCGTCAGGTGGCGTTGCCCTACTGGCCTGTGGGGATGACATGGGACAAACAGAATGTGTGGCTGTTTCCAAGACAGTTCACTAAATTTCAACACACCATTCTGGTATAACATGGCATAACATGGGAGTATAACAAAGTATAACACATATGTAAAACAGGATAAAACAGGTAAAACAAACAAACATGAACAAACTAATGCTAAACGTTGTTGTAAACTGTGTAAATCCAGAGATGTTTCCATGTTTTTCATTGTTTTTTCATTGTTTTTCCATGTTTCTGTTTCCGTTGTATCGCCAGGGTGTCATGTTTTGTGTCATGTTTTGTGTCCATACGGGGTGTCTATTTTGCCAGGTCACTGCAGGACCTAGACGACAAGGAGTTTGTTCCCCAGCACAGCGTGTGACATGTGACCTGTACTCCTACGGCTCCTACGGCTCCTACGGGCCTTGGAGAAAGATCTGGGAGTCCTGCGTTGTTAGCTCTTGTTATTCCTTGTAGATATCCCTGTTATTCCTACTTATTTGCTGTTGTTTTCCATTTTTTGATCTGGTGGATTTTCCTTCACTTTCATCTTTTCTCCTGCTCAACTGCTCAGGTCAGGGCCAATAATGATGTCCATCCATCAGTACTACGCCAATGCAGGTGCGGTGCGCAGCTGCGAAGAACAGAATGCATTGGAAAGGATAACATACATTTTGATACATTTTGATACATTCTGTACAAATGCAATGGCATGGACAGCATGGACAGCATGGACAGCATGGACAGCATGAACAGCATGGACAGCCACGATTGCTTTCACACCCATTGGTTGCAAGACGTGGATACACTTCCATGATCACAGATGCAGCCAGTTTGAAAGCGATGCCTTCGACGAAAGGTTTGTGGATTAATTCCCTCTTATGAATGCTGTGTATTAGGCTGGAGATGTGGTACTTATTCCTAATGGCACATGCAATGTTTGCAAAATGTCTCCAAAACATCGAAAGGAGAACGACTGGAATTGCCATTCATTCTTGCACACGGTCAACGAATCAATTTCCACTGAAATGGAATCTGCTCACCAAGATTCTCACTCTCTTTCTCTCTCTTGGTGTCTTGGCGTGACTGTCTTCAGCGCCTGCAGCCGTCCAGTGGAGATCAATTGCAAAATGGCATTGGTCCGGACATGATTTTGGTTGTCTGTCTGAACTGACGCCTGCCTCATTTTTGGAGGATGAAATCTTTGGACTTCTGGAATTTTGAGCTGCAGCTTTCAGCTCTCCAAAACGGACCCCTTTGCCACAGCGAAACACCGTGCTACTGAAGGACGGATCGTGCCCTCGGCCAACGACTGCTGGTGCCTAACGTTGCTTTCTGCATCGACGACAAACCAGCTCCAAAATGCTACCAGCAAGCTTCTGAAAAGCAAGCGCCGCCACACCAAGACACCATGGCCCCATTTTGCACCTTTCTTCTTGCCCTTTGCTTCTTCTTCCATGCTTTTCGTCTCTTGCCTGTTGCGTCTTGTTCTTTCTGCAAACTCCTATCGAACCTTGCTGCTTGTAATCTCTTCTCTGATGCGCTCCCTCTGCCGTTGGCTGGGGTCGGCGGATTCTCTTGGAAAATGAATGCACTTGTGCATTTGCGAAGGTGAGACAGTGACCAGCAGAGAGGGTATCTTGTGGGTGACACAGTTGCGCCTCACAAAGCGTCTGCGCTTGCTGCGCTTTGGATTAGGTTCTGATGTTCTTCGGAAGAAACCATTTCCAAACTTTTGCACAAGTTGCAAATGCTTCCATTCTTGCAACAGATGCTTCTGTTTCACTTCTGCTTCAATTCTGTTCCAAACCTTTCCTGTTCATTCTTGTTTTGCCTTTTCCATGGATTCACTTCCTGAGGTGCCCTCCTCACAGCCGATACAAGCAATTCAAGAGCTGTTGGGCCCATAGCACCAGACCAGCCATGACCAGCTATGACCAGCTATTACCAGCTTGTACAAAATCAGAGAATTCGATCAAACTAGCATAGACTACTGTCCCAGGTAACCTCAGCTATCCTCAGCTATCCTCTCAGGCTCGCATCACTACAAGCTTTTGACCCGGCAGCCAGGTGGACTTTGATTTTTTTGGTCCGTTTTTCTGTCCATTTTTGTCTGAATCTGCTCAACTTTTGCCTAATTGCCCCTTAGGCACGTGAAAATACGATCATTCTTATTTGCAAGCGTGCCTTCCAGTCAGCTGTCGTTCGGTTTCTGCCCAGTCGTTGGATTTTTTTCACGGACATGTTGACTGTGTTGCATTGAATCTCGTCAAGAGCAGATTCTGACAGTACCATATTTGAGGGACCTAGTTCTCCTCCTGCTTCTCAAAGAGAGCTGTGTCACACGGATTCGCAAAAGATGCATGGATGTTGGCTGAGACCACTCTTGGACATCCTATACGATGATTCATGTTTATTCATTTTTTGCATAACATCTGCATCACACCTTGTCTTTTCTTTGGGGGCTCCGGGTCTTGTGAATCCAAGTCTTCAGACTCCTCAAACGACACTCCAAGAGTCAAGCTTGCAGGAAAAAAGGTGTGAAGCTGACTGAAGCTGAGTCCTGGGGGTCAGGCTGATTGACGAAGAAACTGAAAATCCCTTCAAGATCCGAATTGTCGAAACGTCCGCGCTTCCGCGCTTGTCCCAACTCAAAAGGGGCAAATGTCACGTCGAATAATCAAAGCCTTAGCGTATAGCGATTTCGATGATTTCGATGTCACGCACATTTGTGTGATACTGATATGATTGATATGGTACTGATGATACGGTTTCCATATCTTTCCACTTGGCTTCGGCAACAGACATGGGTACAATCAGTCTCTGTAGCCCAACATTTCGCGGAGGAAGGCCTTGTGAAATTCTTGGGCATTGCTGTGTCGAACAGCAAGGGCAGCACTGGAACCCCCAAAGTTATGTGACAGCAATGCTAAAGGCAAAACTAAGGCAAGGGTAGGAAACAGATGCGAGGAACTCAAAGACTCGAAAAAACAAATGTAGCGTTTTTAAAGTAATGTCTCTTGTTTCGCCCCTGTAGTCAAATCCAAGCAGTTTCTATCATAACCAATATTGGTTAAACAGCAGCATGAAACAACAAAACGGGCTGCTATGTTGCGAGCCTGGGCCCCCGCTTTGGGTGTGCCGGCGCAAAATCCTTGATGCTGCCTGCGGTTGATGTGGTTGCAAGTGCAAATAGTAGCGTATGGATGCGTATGGCCCGTATGGCTTGAGCAAATGCAAGTTCTCTACAGTTTGTGCGCCATGCTGTCCAAAACATTCCAAAACCCCATACTTCGTATCTCGTGTTCGGTTTGCAACTGGCTATGCGGCTATGTTCTGGAGTCTGCGGGCAAGTCCGTGAGCCAGAACCCAAGAGTCCACATGCGTGGTAAAACATGGTAAAACTATGTGTAAAACTCTATTTCTGAGGCAATGGCAACTAGCTTGCAAAGCATGACATGCAACACGTGCTCGCGGTTTGTGCGTATTTGTCTAAAGGAATAACGGAATAATTCAAATGTAACGCGCAACGCAAGAAGGGTTTAGAGCGCTGCTTGCGGCATTTTCAGCATTCTGATTCACATTTATTTGGTGAGTTGAGGATCCGAAAGCCAGACTGTTCAGGCTTCAGTATTGCATGTGTCTTGCATGCGTATTGCATGGGTGGACATTCTGAGGAACAGAGGCATAAACTGATCGCACACGCTTCATACGAATCATCGTATCTCTTTCCAGGTTCATCTTGCACATGGACCCAACCAACTAAAGATCGAAGCATGCGACGTTGTATTGCATCCAGTTGATTCAGATCAGATGCTGTTCACGTGGTCAAACCGAACAAGATAGTAGGGGTCACAACTGCGTCAAACAAATGCAAGCGTAGCTTGATTGAAATGCGCTTGTTTGTCAATGGTTTGCGATTTTTTCGAATTTAGCCCAAGCCAAATGTACTCGATGTTGAAAGCCAATGCGGCGACGTTTTGTCAAATCACCACTGTATTTTCTCCCAAGGTATTTGTGGCTACAAGTGCCTTTCTTCAATGTTAAAAGGTTGAATCATGCAATGGGAACGGGGCCTGCATCTCAATTCTCGCACCTCACCTGCACAGTGAAAAATACCGGACAGGAAACGTGCAAACTCTGTAGGTGAAGGTTTTTTAGTCACACTCTTTTTGCACGGATGCAATGGTTCAAAACGAATCGCCTCCATGTCCCCCTGGTTTTGGACATACTTTAATATTTTGGACATGCAATGGTTGCAGCATGCGTGCACGTAGGAATTTCCGAATCGTTTTTGACAGCTGTCTTCGTTGGGTTTGGTCACAACAATGCCTTTGGTACAGGAGGTTCTGAAATTCTATCTCGTTCCACGGCTCCGTGCGTTTGGATTCCACATCTCCTTTTTCGTCAACGGACGCGGCAATTCCCAACACAACCCTTTCCAATTCTTGAATTGACGTAGGGACACCACGGAGTTGCGCAAACAAAGTGGTTTGATACAGACCAAAACATTGCGGTTTCCATATTCTTTTTTTTTTTTGGCGTTTGTTTTGGCTCTGCTTCGGGAATTCCACACCGGTGTACACAGCACGGTGATCAGAACCAAAGTCCAATTTGTTTGTAGCAAAAGATGTCGACAAAGTGAAAGTCACGGAGCACGAAATGAAATCAATTTTTCTGGTGATACCCATTTAACTATGAAAAGTCCAGTTGGCGCCCACGTCCTCATCGTCATCCTCATTGGCAATTTGTAACTCAAAATTGGTAGAAAAAATATGAAAAAATTGTCACCGCCTCGCCGCGAATACCAACGTGCAACTTGGTATTCAAATTTCCTCCAAGTACTATTTGCTTACCAGCACAGCGAGCACCATCAAGAATAAGATAAAGTTGGTCATAAACTTCCTGAAAATCATGATATGGGTATCCCGGTATCCCATGTGAGGCATACGGAGACAAATCGAACAATGCCACACGCCAGTTTCGCATCAAGGTACATCAATCGTTCGGATAATATGTGCACAGAATGTACTGCATTGACATGCCTCTTGTGTAAAAGAATAGCAACTCCAGCTGCGTTTGTTGATCGCGTGGATGAAAATAGTGTGTCACCTGATGTTAGAGCAGTGGTTCCGCAAGACCTTCTCTTTTCACTGAACAACACGATATCGCAATTGCAATGTTCGAGTTCTCCCAGCATCTCCGCAATCTTCACCTTTGAATTCAAACGTGTTTTTTTTTTACAAAAATATGGAGAATTGGTTGGTTTTGCCGGAAAACTGTTGATGCGGGTGAAACTTCTTGTCCTGAACTCGAACGGCGCACTGGCGCGCCCCTCAAGAAGCAGTTCGTGCCGCAGCACCTGCATCCTTACTTTTGCTCTTGCCGCTTGCCTCTGCCTCTACCTTACTTTTGTAAAATAGTTTTGGTTTTATCAGTTTATCAATCCATCCACTCCACTCTCAGATCACTTTGGAGGGGAGAAATTTGAACGATTGTTGTGCCCGCAATAGCCATCTTTGTGTAGTTTTCATCTATTTCAATTTCGCGTGTCACAAATCCCCACTCACCAAGCTGCCAACGTGGACCTAATCAGAACATTTTTCTTGCACGAGTCGGAATGGGAAGGTCCTGGGTTTGCCCATACTTGTTGCTGGTCATGCTTGATGTTGGCACTCCGCAAGGTTGCAATGGCTACATCTCGAGTAAAGGAAAAATAATATTTTGCAACCACCACACCGTTGAACGACTGCGCATTCATGTAAATTTCATTCGGGCATGGCACATTCAATGCTTCCAGTTTGTCATGCAACCATTTCATTGCACTTTGAAGAGAAGCACGCCCCTGCAAACCTCCAACCACCATAGTTTTGGACATATCCACTTCATTGGAAAACGATTTGCCCTTGAGAACATCGATTTGGGATTGAAACTCCGAATTTTTGTCTGCAAAATACATCAAAGGGCCGGTTTCTGAATCATCGGTTGCTATCACCTGTTCCAAGCGCGCAAGGCGCCCATCTTGGTCATTCACTGTGTGTTAATTTTTTCCCATACGCTCATCAAGTGTAGCACCCATATTTGTCAACTTATTTTCGAGTGGCCCAATTGCTGTTTGAAGTTCTTGTCGCACGATGGCCGCAAATGCATTCAGAGAAGGAACACTACTTTCAGAATCCGATTTTGGGGTTCCGATCAATTCATTCTCTTGTGCTTCTCCATCCATTTCATGCAAAGGGGACATAATCCTCCTTTTCTGTACTTGTCAATCAAGCGTCATGCCAGCTATCGCATCAAACAACCAAATTTAATTCTTGGATCACTTGAACCACTTGAGCCAGACTGTTGTTGAGCTAAATGACTTCGAGCAAAAATGGTTTTAACATGTTTTAACCAAAATGGCTACGGGCAAATTTGCAAGCTACAACGAAAATTGCTCTCGGCAAACTTGTGCAAAATGTGTTTCCAAAGGAAACTAAGTCACATGTTCACGAGCAGAATGAAACCCAAACAACGCACCATAAGTGTGTTCACAAAAATCGCGCAACATATCATCCCATCTTTGTTGTGGACGCCCTCGGGTTCGAGAAGGCATTGAAGAAAAAGTCCCGTTTGAATGAAAAATCCGTCCATGTGCAAATCGGACAAAATTATCAAAATTGTTTTCACGTTGTTCATTTTGCGCAAAATCCTTCCGCATTCATTGCCATCCGCAGCCACCCAACCAACGATTGCACGAAGCATCTGGCGCTGCACGACATTGATTTCTTGAAATTGTGACGCTACTATATAAAGGCAATGAAGCCAAACCAAACAGTGCAACCGGAGAAAACAGTGCATCCGGAGGGGTAACGGACAGTAACTGTATCGAAAAAAATCACCCGTAATTTCAAAGTTGTAGGCCGTTTGTCCGCATCGATTACTAGACCATAATGGCGCAATTTCAATTTCCATTTACGCATTGTTGATTCCGCAACATTGACCAGAGTCGGGTTCTTTCACGCCCCTTTATATTGGATTTTTTTCATAATTTTTCCTCCTTGGTGAAGACAACCGGTCTGTTGTTGATATAGAACCCGAA